CCTCCCCTGCTCATTTCATGCCGTTCCGTGATTCCGATGTGCAAATTCTGTCGGACCGTTGCTTCTTTGGTCGCGATCTTAAGCGTTGAATTCACCGACGACTTGACTTGAAGGTATCGATCTTCTTCCTTGTAGAACTTCTCCAATTCCATATAGAACGCTTCGAGCTCATCCTCGTCGTAGCTTGATGTTGGTGCGTAGGCGACGAAGATTGTCAAAGCTGAGTTGAACCACATCTTCGCTTACGCAAACGTCCGAATTTGAATCGATGTTCATGGCCAAGTGCGTGTTGACGAGGACGCCCACACCGCCAACGCCTCTGCTGTCGCATGTTCCGAGGAACAGTTCTTCTCCAGTCTCGTATACGGCGTGTAGCGGGCGATGCCTCCTCGTCTCGGTCAGTCCGATGACGTCGTACTTGATCTTCCTGGCTTGCAACATCAGATCTTCGATGTGAGCTTCCGATGCAAGCGTCCGTGCGTTTGAAAAGTAAGATCGTCACCCTAAGTTCTGGGCGGAGGATTGAATCTCCCTGTGGCATTTTAGCAGCTGCGCCGAGCGGTCCCAGCCGACATCGCCCTGTCGGTGGTTCCCTCAGGTTCAGGGGAATGAGGCCCATAATTATTACTGTTTTCGGCGTGAAGAAATTTGACCACGCGTAGCTCGCCAGGCTCTGACGTGGCACCCTCCGCATTGGTACGGTTACCAACAGTCCAAACCGTTCACCCCCACGCCACGTTGAAGCTGCGGGTAGGATTTGTGGGTGTCGGAATAGGTATCGTTATAACACTATTGAACTGGCATTCGCTCCTTCTTTTGGATGAACTGCACTACACATGCTCTGATGCAACACCGCGCTCCAATGGCAGTTGGGATTACTGGTAACAGTCATTCACACGCACTCCTAAACCCCTCCTGTTGCGTTTCTTTTTTGCGGGATCGTCTAACCAGTTTGCGGATAGCCGCACTAAAGCTCTTCACGGTAATTTCTGTTCAGAGTCTTACTGTGAACGCAAGACCATGATTGTATGATGTAAGCTCAAATGAAATGTTTGCAGTCTGAAGCGTCACTAGAAGCGCAGCCACCTTATTTGCATGACGCACTCGCAGCCACGCCCCCTCAATGTCTTGAGTGTGGAGTGCACGTAAATGTATCATCTGAAGAACGAACCGGCACTTTTTCATCTACACTCTCTACTTTTAATGCATACAGTCCTGTTTGACTCCGTACCTAAACGATAGTAACGCTCCAAAAGCATAAGCTAAGACGAAAAAAATCGAGATTTACTTTGAAAACTGCTCCGAATGATCCTTCACCTAGTTTCTTTTCCACGCACCATTGTTCAATCTGAAATTCCAATAACTGTGAAGTGCATTGGCTCTCTTACAGTAGATGATCGTGGAAACGCATGTTGTCGCGTACCTGAGTGCCAGGGGTTATAACATCCCCCATTTGTGAGTGGACTGTGAGTCTGCTTCACCGAAAAATGCCCATCAAACCCGTCATGATCCTTTTCATAGTATCTGCTATCATCAGGGTTTATCAGAATTAGCCCGCAAAACAAGTTCTATGAATTTCTCATCTTCTCAGCCAAATTACACGCTGCGGTTGTTCAATTCCTCACAACTCAAGCGTTTTCCCTTCAGTCCCATAGGGCTTCAGAATTTCCTGAATTCTATTTTTTTTTCTTCCACTGCTTTCAATCCAAGTTAAGACTTTGTGTACCTGCTCCAGATCTTTTTTGGCTCAACTCATTAGATCGTGTGAAAGAAGGACTAATGAAGGAAATTATTTAAAAGGAACTGCCCTTGAAGCTCCGAATAAGACCCCATGAGGTACACGAAATTAGACGAGTGTCGCAGAGGTCGGACGAGTTTGTCCATCGCTGCCTCGATGTGGCTGGTTCCTTTATGGTTAGGGCCATACACTGGCCCATTCATGTCGGTCCAGAGTCAAATTACCCTCTGAAAAAGGGCGCTATGTCTCTTGGGAGGGACCAGTACACAATCTTGCCTTCGGCGCCTAGTGACTGATATAGAAGCCTGTG